GTAAGAACCGTGCACAAGTTGGGGTGATGTGAGATGGAAAGGTTTGGCAAGCTTCCGGCATTTCGCTTTGGGCAAACAGTGAAGGTGTTTAGAAAATGGGCATTAGAATCACTGGTAGTCTGATCATAAGTGGTGCAGACTTGATCACTATATTGCAACCTTAAAAGTTAGTGGTGTGCCCTGTGTGTATGAAAACACCTAGTTATATACATATTTATAATTACTTACAATAACTAAAGTTATATAGCCTAAAATTAGGTAAGGAAAATAATACAAAAAGGGTGGCTAGGGTTTTGGGGAGCTTCAGCTCCCCGGAACAGAGTAACTCTCGGTCTCGGAGATGGTGAGGAGTGCTTTTATACCCCTGTGGTTACAGATCACTAAGACTGCAAAGCATTGACGGAGGTAGGACGTCCAAAGATTGAACCGGGGATCAGGGACCAGGGATGTTGCATCATAGTAATGTAGTTGCTGCTTACGTAATTTTTAACAAAAAGCCATAAATCATTATATGGCATTTATGTGATAACTGCAGCCGTGGGGAAATTGCTTCATAGATGCGCGGATACGCACTTCGATGAAATGATAGCTGTTCAGAGTATCTCTGAGACTTTTAAGTAATTGATAAATAGGTAAGCCCGAACAGTACTGGATTTGCCGTCGAAAGACATGCCCTTCTGTAAATTAGCTGAGGCATGAGTAACTTAGGGAGGGAAGACCTGTCGTGGTTGAAGCTATCATGTCTCGCAGTGGTTTCAGTTCTCCATAAAAAGTTTTCAAGTGCCCTGGCAAAGGTTCATTGTGTGTTTGTTGGTGAGGTAGAGTGGTATAAAATGGTCACACAGACGTTTTTACCTGTAAATACTCGACCTGTCAGTGATCTGATAATAATTAGCGATTGGACAAGAGCTGATGAGAAATGATGATTGGTCAATGATTGGATAATAAACACTGGGTGGAAATCAGTTTAAAAAAAAACTGGTTTTTTCCTGTTGCAGCTATAAATTTTAGTAAATTTCTTGCAGATTTTATGCAGCCGCTCATTCAAATTACTGCAAGGAGAGAATGGTTTCCGCGATCATCCGGATACAATCGATGACATGTTCAGACTTGCAATCAGGTAAGCATGCTTGTAGTTAATTACGTGATACAAAGCCGATCTTCTGGGAAAATATACTGACATTCGTTCACAAATGGTCTCATTTCGTCCGTTTGTCCAGTGGTTTTTTTTAATAACATGTTTTTCCCTTAATCCACTTTCTTTTATATGGCTTGTAAATTGGCCTTTTTTGTAGCTCTTTTCCGTTTTGTTTTGCTTTTTGTGCTCTGCAGTAGCTGCACAAAATGAATATTGTCACGGGGTTTCTATGCCTGTGTGTATGTACGTGTGTGTATGTGTGTGTGTGTGTGTGTGTGTGTGTGTGTGTGTGTGTGTGTGTGTGTGTGT